CACTTCTTTCCTTGAGAAATGGCATCGAGAGATACCTCACCAGCCCTCCACATAGCCGGCCAATAAAACTAAATAAAGATCCTCGCTTCGTGCTTTCAAATAAAGTTCTAGATGCCAGCATTAAACAACTTAAAAAAGATGGGAAAGAAAACACAACACACAAGCCCCCTATCGAGCAGCAAGACATGGAAAAGCTTAAAAACAGCAATGTGYTCCTACCTTCCAATCCTCAGTCACTTCTAAACAACGTCTGGTTTCATGTCTCCCTTTATTGGTGCAGACGAGGAAGAGAAGGGCAGCGAAGCTTGACAACCAGCAGCTTCACGTTTGAAAAAGACGGCGACGAGAAAGAGTACGTTACGATGACACATGATGAGAGTACAAAAAATCACCCCGGAGGTCTCAATGATGTACAAAGTTTTGAGAAGTATGGAAGGATGTACAAGACAGAAACACCAAGGCAACAGACGGATATTCTTCATTGCAGTTTTACTTGTCAAAAGTCAACCCAGCTTGCACAGCTCTATTTCAGTATCCAAAGCGAAATTGGCGTCCCACTGACAGCGTATGGTATGAAAACCGTCCCCTCGGTGCCAACAAGCTTTCAAAGATGATGTCTACCATAAGTGAGGGAGCACGTTTGTCCAAAATTTATACCAACCATTCAGTCCGAGCAACTGCAATAACCTTATRGTCAAGAGCCGGTCTACCAGATCGTSAGATAATGGCGATTTCTGGTCATCGCTCTGAATCTTCTTTGAAAAGCTACCACAGTCGCCCTTCCTCCCTTCAGCTAAGAGAATGCAGTGATGTTTTGTCATCAGCTATTGGCGAAAGAATCAACACTACTCTTCAGTCGAGAAATCCGTGTACAAGCACAGTTAGGTGGAAAAATTCTCGCCAAGAATCCATCGAAGAAGAGCGTAGTGGCATGTTTGCTGGCTGCACATTTCACGGCAATATGCAGATTAATCATTATTACAGCCGTTAACTTTTGACTCTTGACTATTTTTCTCATTTTGCTGATAAATTCTCGATATTTTTTACGAGAAAAAGTTCGAAAACAATCCATTTTCAGATCATTGCAAGCAATTAATTGATCATAATTTGTACAGTTGATCGAAGTTTGTAAATTTCAAACAAGCGATTTGATTGGTTGACTCATGATTGTAATGAGAATTAAAATGTTCATCAACAAATCTAGTGTTGTGAGTCGTCTATATTTTCGCTTTTCTTTTCTATTTCTTAGGATTGGCTATATAATAAAATAGATCACGCGGGATGAAAATTTATATATAAATTATATATAATAAAATATATATAAATTTATATATAATAAAATAGATCACGCGGGATGTTGGGAGAACACTCAAAAAGGCTGAAAATCTCTCGCCTGCGGCTCGAGATTTTTTACGCCTTTTTTCGTGTTCTCCCAACATCCCGCGTGATCTATTTCACCAAGGGATCACGGAAAGTTGTTTTCTATTGCTTAAATAAATGAAAAAAGAAAAACAAATAGCAACAGCAACATTTGCAACAAATTCTTTAGCTTCTGCATATATATGATATATCAGATTAATCAGATCAAACGATATATTACACACAATTGATATATCCCCCTAGCCCCGAAAAGTGTCAAGTATTTTTGATATGCCATTACCACGAGAAATAATAATAGTTAGTTAGGCGGATGACTCCGAGATTTGACAATGGCACTCCAAACGACCCTGTCTTCCATCAACGTAGCCAGCTCGTGTGAGCTGATTGCCCCTGTGTCGCGCTTGAGGGTGTCTACATAATTCGATTGAGGTCTTCCTCTGGACCGCGTTCCGTGAGTTGGTTCCCACAGGATCAATTTTTGGGTGCTTAGTTCAGGGTGGCGGTAGCAGTGTCCTGCCAGACGTAGTCTGCGCTCAGCAATCTTCACATCCAGCCTTGGTAACTCTCCGTACACTTCATCATTAGTAGTGCGGGAGCTCCAGTGCACATTCAGGGCTTTCCTCAGCATACGGGTATAGGCACCACTGAGTGATTTCACCATAGACTCCGTCATGGACCAGCTTTCACATCCATACAGCAAGATTGACTCGACTGTGGCAACAAAGAATCGTTTTTTCAAAACTGGGTTCATAGTGGACTTCCAGATGTTGGTCATGTCGTTGAGGGCTTTCCAGGCTAGTGCTTTTCTGATATTGACGTCTTTTATCGACTTATCAACCCAGGAGCCAAGATATTTGAAATCGTCTTTTTGCTCCAACACAGTTCCTGATCTGGTTACTAGAGGAGTGTGTACGTCTATGTTGTAGGCCAGGTA